CCACCAGTTGAGGGGCTCATCAAGGGCGTAATTAAAGAGGTCCTTCAGGGCCGCATCATTAAACCCCAGTCCCTCTGCAGTTATGCTGAACTCCAGGGCGAACTCCCTGTTGACGGAGGGAGCTCAAGGACTTGAACTGGAGCATGTGTTCATAGAGAGGGCTGGAGAGAGCGGAGGCTGGTGGACGGCGCCAGCCCTTCCTCCGCTGAGTCCTCATCTTTGGCGAGTTCGTACAGTCAGGGGTGCAGGTGAGGGGATGGACAGCGAGGACTCAATTGCAGGAAAAAAGGCTTTTTATTAATAATAAATATAAACAAAACAAACAAAAACTACCCCGTAGGGGAAAACAGGTAAGCAACAAGGCTTGGCAGGACAAGGCAGGACCAGAAACAACCAGGGTTGATACGACCAAGAACTTGCACGGGACTGCAAACACAAGGAGAATAAATAGGGAGCAAAACATGGACATAAATCCTGTCCAGCCTTGCCAAGCCTGGTTGCCTACCTGTTTTCCCCTATGGGTAGTTTTTGTTTGTTTTGTTTATATTTATAATTAATAAAAAAAGCCCTTTTTCCTGCAATTGAGTCCTCGCTCTCCATCCCCTCACCCGCACCCCTGATATATTTAGATATCATTAAATTAGTTTAGGTGACCACAGGCAGCATAAATAAAATTAATGTGCCCAATAGCCTCTCAGCAATTAGGTCAATCAGACACTGAGCTGTTGACAACGTACAGTACATATTACATGTTGGAAAATGTGAGCAAAAAAAGAAGTCCATCCATCCATTCTCCACACCACTTATCCCGCTAATCGATCCCAGCATTTCAGGCCTAAGCAAGGAAACACGCTTGACGGATGTCCACATTCAAAAATAGAAACTGTCTTTGACTACTGTAAGTTTACATTTTTAAACTGATGTAAATATTTTACATTTTTGTAACTTTTAGCAAGTTTTTAAAACTCATTATTTTTAAGCATTGAATGAATGTCTCAAGCACCACCACAAATATTTATTTTTTAATATGAAAATGTATGTAAATATGTACTTTCATTCATACATGGTTGCCATGTTTTAAAGTCAGATAAAAATACTCAATCAATTGGTGATTAAACAGCTTAAACAGATTAAACAGCAGTTTGAGAAGCTTAATCAGTTTCTCAGAGAGGACGAAGAAGCTACAATCAATGCACTGAGGGAGGAAGAGGAGCAGAAGAAGCAGATGATGAAGGAGAAGCTGGAGGAGATGAACAGACACATCTCAGCTCTTTCACACACAAACAAAGACATGGAGGAGATGATGAAAGCCAGTGACGTCTGCTATCTGAAGGTCTGATTTCAGATCACTGATTGATTGAGTTGTTGATGATCAATGGTGTGTTTGTTCTGCAGAAGTTTCCGGTCTCAATGGAAAGGTGAGTGACTCTGCTGGTGTCTCTAGTCTCTCTGCTTCTGATCCAAAGCCTCTACAGTTCTGATCCTGAATGTTGTTCCAGAGTCCAGATCTCATCACAGCCGGATCCACAGACACCTTCTGGAGCTTTGATTCATGTGTCACATTACTTGGGCAACCTGCCGTTCAGAGTCTGGAAGAAGATGCAGGACATCATCCAGAACAGTGAGTCTGCAGAAGATCTGAGCACACATACAGATAAACAAATGTATAGCAAATGTCTGATGTGTTTGTTCAACATGATGAGTGTCATAATTCATAATCATCTGTGTACGTTTCACTCTTGTTATATGATGTTATATGAACATCAGAATAAAATGGTCTGTTGATTGTGTCTCATCAGCTCCTGTCATGCTGGATCCAAACACGGCTCATAGAGATCTCGTCTTGTCTGATGATCTGACCAGTGTGAGAAACAACGAGAACAATCAACCTGTTCCTGATAATCCAGAGAGATTTAACTGGTATCCCTGTGTTCTGGGTTCAGAGGGTTTTAACTCAGGAACACACTGCTGGGATGCGGAGGTTAAAGGGTGTTTAGTCTGGATTCTTGGAGTAACTACAGCATCAAACCAAAAGAAGGGACGTGATTGTTTTAACACTGATGTCTGGAGTGTGGAGTATGATCAGGAAGGACTCTCTGGACCTTTTAACTTTTGTGTTGAACAGTACCTTGAGTATGTGAGAGTGTATCTGGACTATGACAGAGGAATGGTGTCATTCTCTGATCCTGTAACTAACACACATCTACACACATTCACAACCACCTTCACTCACACACTCTTTCCATTCTTTAGTTGTTATCCCTCTCTGAAGATCTTACCCTTAAATACAAGGATCACTGACTTTTAGGCTTAAAGTTAATCAATTATCAATTAATTGTTGATAAGAAATGTAATCGATTAGAGTTATCAATGGTTGATTAAGCAAGGTAGTTTTGAGGTGCGTGTGGCTCATTCGCAAAACACGTGCGTCAGATACAAAGAAGACATACAGGGCTGGATCTTTTGCAATAATTCACGATGTACAAATTATACAAGACGCAAACTGTTTTGAACGATTCGGTCCAAACTTGTTCAACCAATATATTAAAGTTATTATTGCCACATGCTCCTGTTCTATGATATGTTCTATGTCGCACTCTTTCATAGAGCGTGTGAGTTACAAACAGAGTGAAGCTATAACCACATGATCAGCTGCACTGTGATGCACTCACATTTAATCTCCTAAATATATGCATTGGCATATTTTCAGCCTGTCAACTGTGATTCCTTGATTTGAAAGAAAAAATAATTAAATCTTGTCAAAATTTTTTTGTTAAAATAGGAAATGTCACCCCCGCCATAATTTGAATGGTCCCTTCTGTCATTAACAAGATGCTAATAGTTGAAGAGTTTCTCTCACTTGTGATAGTCTCATACCCGGGGCCCAGGGGCGTGTCTATGTGGTGGCACATGGCCACCCAAGGTCCCCCCCACCAGATGTCTTGCGATGGGCTTGTTTTAACTCATACAGAACTTAATAGGTAGCCAGTGCAGAGACTGTAAAATTGGGGTAATATGATCATATTTTCTTGACCTGGTAAGGACTCTAGCCGCTGCATTTTGGACTACCTGTAGCTTGTTTATTGAGGATGTAGGACAACCACCTAGCAGTACATTACAGTAGTCCAGTCTAGAGGTCATGAATGCATGAACTGGCTTTTCTGCATCAGAAACAGGTAACATGTTTCGTAGCTTGGCAATGTTTCTAAGATGGAAGAATGCTGTTTTTGTAACAAGGGAAATATGATTTTCAAAAGACAAGTTGCTATCTAATATAACACCCAGAGTTTTGACTGTTGAGGAAGTAACAGTACATCCGTCTAGTTGCACATTGTAATTCAAGAGATTCTGTGTACTGTTTTTTGGTCCAATAAGTAATATATCTGTCTTATCCGAATTTAATAGTAGAAAATTATTGGTCATCCTTTTACATTTTTAACACACTCTGTTAGCTTAAATAATTTAGAAGTTTCATCTGGTCTTAACAGATTTCAATCATCAGCATAACAGTGGAAACGAATCCTGTATTTTCTAATAATATTACCAAGGGGCAATATGTATATTGAAAATAGCAGAGGACCTATGACAGATCCTTGTGGCACTCCATACTTTATTGGTGATAATTGAGATGACTTCCCGTTTAAATAAACAAAGTGGTAGCAATCGGACAGGTAGGATCTAAACTGTCTTAAACCATTTTCTCCTCTTTATACTTAATTTTAGGCGGTTTCTATAGCGTGATCTTAATGACAATGTCAAGAGCATAATGTTACGCGATCCATGAAATGCGCGAGCACAAATCTCTCCACTCGCAAGCAGATTTCCTTCACTCACACAAAACTGGATGTGTGCTTTTAAATATACATTGTTCATTTATGAATTAGCTCTGCTCTCGCTCAGATATTATGTGTACGCTCAATCATTGTCCTTGCATCACTGAAGACCAGAGGAGCTTTTTTTTTCTAATTCAGGTGAAGAGTAGGCTTTTCTCACTAAATGAATGCAAGCTGATTATAGTCAGCCTTCTCTAGTTATTTATTTTATTAATACTTATTTTAGTTAAGTGCTTAAATTGCAAATATGCATTTAATAAATTATTTTATTTAGTGCATTTGTATTTTGTTGTTTTTGTATATAGTTATACAATAAAATTGTATCAACCAGGTTCCCGAAATAGTCACTGATGGTGCTTCTGAAATGAGTGAGGGTGCTCTAGTCTTAATGCACATTTTCACATATTTTGTCCCGTTTATTGCTATGGACACACACTCAGATACTCTGCCAGTGATTGAATGTTTGTATTTATCACTAGATTCTGTGTTTTCTTCCCATGTTTTTAGTTTTCTAGTTTTTGCCTTTATCGTGTTTTGATCCTTGGACTGTTATCTTGATATAGATTGCTGCTTGCCCTGACCATTACCTGTTATCTGGATTAATCTTTTGCCTCTGCCTTGGCTATAACTGTTTGCTGTTACTGGACCCTGCCTGTTTTGACCATGCTCTTTATAATAAAGCCTTGCAAGTGGATCCCCTACTCTGTTATCACGTTTCCCCAGTTACAATTACAGCCTTGTTTGGTATAAATAAAAAAGTTAGTAAAAAACCCCCCCTCTGTTCTATGTGCTTGCGCTTTTGCTTCTTGTGCGCTGCATGCAAACAAGATTGAATGTTTGTATTTATCACTAGATTCTGTGTTTTCTTCCCATGTTTTTAGTTTTCTAGTTTTTGCCTTTCTCGTGTTTTGATCCTTGGACTGTTATCTTGATATAGATTGCTGCTTGCCCTGACCATTACCTGTTATCTGGATTAATCTTTTGCCTCTGCCTTGGATATAACTGTTTGCTGTTACTGGACCCTGCCTGTTTTGACCATGCTCTTTATAATAAAGCCTTGCAAGTGGATCCCCTACTCTGTTATCACGTTTCCCCAGTTACAATTACAGCCCAAGTTATTTCCATTCCTGCAATTGAATTGTTTTAAATCACATTAAAATGCAAACAAAGTAATTGTTAAGCAGAATCGAAATGCACGCTGTTAGGTAGCACCTCCCAACATTTACTCAATGTCTGGTATCATAGCGGGCAAACATGGATTTGACTCCAGTTAAAGAATCATGCACAGGTGTGTCTCCAATAACACTGCCATTTATTCCAGACAAGCAGCAACAACTATTTTTATTTAGTGCATTTGTATTTTGTTGTTTTTGTATATAGTTATACAATAAAATTGTATCAACCAGGTTCCCGAAATAGTCACTGATGGTGCTTCTGAAATGAGTGAGGGTGCTCTAGTCTTAATGCACATTTTCACATATTTTGTCCCGTTTATTGCTATGGACACACACTCAGATACTCTGCCAGTGATTGAATGTTTGTATTTATCACTAGATTCTGTGTTTTCTTCCCATGTTTTTAGTTTTCTAGTTTTTGCCTTTCTCGTGTTTTGATCCTTGGACTGTTATCTTGATATAGATTGCTGCTTGCCCTGACCATTACCTGTTATCTGGATTAATCTTTTGCCTCTGCCTTGGATATAACTGTTTGCTGTTACTGGACCCTGCCTGTTTTGACCATGCTCTTTATAATAAAGCCTTGCAAGTGGATCCCCTACTCTGTTATCACGTTTCCCCAGTTACAATTACAGCCTTGTTTGGTATAAATAAAAAAGTTAGTAAAAAACCCCCCCTCTGTTCTATGTGCTTGCGCTTTTGCTTCTTGTGCGCTGCATGCAAACAAGGCCCAAGTTATTTCCATTCCTGCAATTGAATTGTTTTAAATCACATTAAAATGCAAACAAAGTAATTGTTAAGCAGAATCGAAATGCACGCTGTTAGGTAGCACCTCCCAACATTTACTCAATGTCTGGTATCATAGCGGGCAAACATGGATTTGACTCCAGTTAAAGAATCATGCACAGGTGTGTCTCCAATAACACTGCCATTTATTCCAGACAAGCAGCAACAACTATTAAATTATATAAGGCACATTGAGATAGCGTACCCGTTACATTGTGGTCTGTAACAACAAATAATACAATGCAATTACAATGTAGAATGAGAATTATTGAGTACAGATGTACATGTGTAAACAATCCGCTCATGCTTGTTAGCTCTTAAGGCTAATATAATAGCATGACTCAGCGATCGCGCTGCGATCGTTAATTTGCATAAGTAAACATTCGCGGCTCATCAAGCATGCATTAGGATAAACATAAAAACACTACAGAAACAATATCAAGCATTATAAACGCACAACGAAACATTGGTCTCAGAGCGCAGCAGTGTTCGCAACAGTCTGTGAGTCGTGATAGTTTTAAAGTCTGAATGGAAATGGCTGCGTGATTTTGGTTCCGGAACGGACTTTCTGACACTCGCGTATTATCGAATCCGTGTATCATTCGATCATTCGTTTTTTTATTTAATATTGAAAGTAGAAAAATGGGAAAACTGACCTTTTTCGTTTTTTTGTTATTTTTCCAAAAAACGAAAAACGAGAATTCAGCTTAAATTTTCGTTTATCGTTCATGGGTGGAAAAATGAATAAACAGTTTGAATATTTGATTTCTACATGTGGGCGGGAATTAAACGCCCCTTTCTGCTGATTGGTCAGCCGAAGATCAAACTGTGCTATCATCAGTTCTTCTGCAGTATCACACAGCAGAATAATAGTCCTCTGCTGCTGCAGTTGTACAGATTAATAACCCATTTGATCAATTTCATATTTTTCTCATCAAACAGACTAATGAATAGCTCTTCTAATGACAGAGTATTAAGTTATTTCCCCTCGATGGGGGAAAAATCCAAGTGAACATCAATCAGTACTCAATATTAATTTGAACTGCTTTAAATATGACTGCTGCTTATTTCCTGTGCACTTCAATACTGATCTGCGCTTGACTGTAGTCGCGCCTGTCTGCTTATTGAGTTTATTTAACCCATCTCAATTTTGCAACATCGCAATGTCCTGCTCGGGCTTGCCAATTTCATGGCAGAGAATGGTGACTTTAGTTTTCTTTTCTTTTTTTATCTGTCATAAAATAATCCTATGCATCTCGTGCCGTATATTCCAAGCATTCTGAACATATACTGAGGGTTTGGTGAGAAAAAAATGAAATGGCAAGTTATTATATTTGATGAAAATCTTGCGTGCCAGCTCACGCTGCGCACAAGTGCATATCCTTTTGAGATATAAATTATAATCAATTTTAATAAAACACAAGATTACATTATATAACTCTAACAGTAGGCTATATTTAATATCTGTTGTTCTCTGGTTGTCAGTCAAAATGACAGTTCTTGCAACATAAGCCTATATATACCAAGCCAATTTATTATTCTTTCCTTCCTTTCTTAGTGTTTAAAATATTTATTTTGAAACAAATTAATTAATTTCTTAATTAAACAAACAGACTTACTGGGTGAGCAGGGTAGGCTATGACAGCTGTCATATCATATCATAAACTGTACTTCTATTCTACTTTGTTTTAACTCAAAGAGATTTTGAAGGATTTCCTACACAGAAAACTTAAATCCCCATTTTTATGACCATTTAACTACCTCATCCACCACCTTCTGCATTTTCCCCATATTAAACTTATTGTTTCTTCCTCTATACCACAAAGCCCCATCATCTGCAAACAGTGATCTTCCAATACTCCTATCCACCTTATTAAACATATCATTTATCATTATTATAAAAAGCACTGGACTTATTACACTTCCCTGAGGAGTGCCATTTTCTATTACTCCTTGAGATGATATAGAGTCTCCTATTCTCACCCTTATTGCTCTTTGTTTAAGGAAGTCACTA